CTTTCCCTAGGATGCTAGAAAAGCATGTGCAGATGCAACTCTCTCTCAGGTAAGAGCAGTTTGTGCAGAGTCGCGGGTTTGGCCTGGAGGTTGGTGCTTGTGGCGCCTCCACTTGGGACCTCTAGAGGGAGTGCTCTGATTCTCTCCTGTGCACAGTGAGGGTGTGGGGCACTGCTCGAAGGGTTCTCCTGCGCAGGCCCTTACCACGCTAGGCGAGGCCGTGGTGCGTCGCAGATGACAAATAATGTCTCTCGAGCTTTCTTGCGGAGGCCGGAGTTGTAAAGGTTATTGCAGTCTCGATACAGCTATTTCAGAGTTCCTCTCCCTAGCAAAATCTGCCTCAGAACTTCGATTTCTAAAGTCCGGTTTGGCAGATTCTCAAAAAGTTAAACATTAGTCATGACCCAGCAGTTCCACTCCTAGATGCATGCCCAGAGGATCTGAGAGCTGACGCTCAAACAAGCCCGTGTACGCACATGCTCGCGTCGTCTCGGTTCCCAGCAGCCAGAGCAGGAAGCAGATATCCGCAGATGGAGGAGTGCAGGGACCAAGTGTGGCCTGTCCACGCGGTGGGACGTTACTCAGCCATAGAAGGGATGAATCTTGAGACATGGCGCTCAGTGAAAGAAGGTCACATGTTGTGTGATTCCATGCATATGAAATGTGCAGACAGGTCACCCTGTAGAGACAGAAGATAGGTTCATGGTTGCCCGGGGTTGGGGAGGAGGCTGTAGTGAGCAGCCACTTAATGAGCGTGGGGTTTCCTCTGGGGGCGATGAGAGTGTCTTAGGAGGCAGCTGTGTGGCTATGCTAGATAGGACATACTCTCAAATGGTGCATTTCAACTCATTGAAAAACAATATTTTTGTCCAAAGAATTGAACAGAAATGTGAAAGAAAAATTATATTCCTACTTCTGTTGAGTATGATTTTTTTACATTGTCTTAGCTCTGTAGGAGATGTTGTTTAATTGGGGTTAAACAACAAGTTAAACAAAAATTAGACTGCGTAGAATAACCTGCATTTGAATCTCAAATGCACTTTGGACTGTATGTGTTTTATAAAGCCCATTATTGTGATACACTTACATTCCATTTGTCAACCCAGAATCCTTAACGTCAGGGTTTGTATGTTGAAGTGAACAGCAGGTTTGCATGTACAGTTTTGTGCCCTAAGTTACAGAGTACAGAGGAGATTCCATCGTGGTCCAGCTCAGCACACAGCCTGGTCGCTGGACAGCCTGTTGGGCTGGGGCCCTGTGTTCGATTGTGATGTAGGCTGACGAGGCTGTAATTCAGAGGAAACCCGTGAGGGACTGACGGAGGCAGGAGGAGCTGGGCCGGGTGGCCAGCTAGGGAGACAGCAGAGACGGGAGGGGAGGCGGCTCTGGGCCAGCCCCAGGCCTGCTGCGCACGGGGGTAGGGGACGGGGGTCCTGGAGAACAGGTGGAGTAGCGGACTTTTGAGAACCGGGAGAGGGAAGGTAGGTGCCCTGGGAAACGGGAGAAATCACGGAGCGAGGCCTGGCGGACTGGAAGGAGCAGGGCAGGCACAGCCGTGGCCAGGGCGCCGGGGCCAGTGAGCGGGCTGGGCGTGAAGGAGAGGAGAGACCTCGCGGGGAGAGCATGTGTCACGCGATGTTAATTTGCAGTAACTTTTATTTTTAAGATCACAAACAACGTCGACCCAGTGGGAAGAATCCAGATGCGTACCAGGAGAACACTGAGGGGGCACTTGGCCAAAATCTACGCCATGCATTGGGGCACGGATTCCAGGTGTGTGGGGCGTGGGCACACGGAGCGCTTGACACGTGCACGGAGGAGAAAATAACCTGAACTCATTGGCTGTGACTTGTAAAGAAAAAATTAGGCATTTGCGTCAGATGTGCGAGCAGGCCAAGACAGCAGCCCGGGTGCCCGAGCTCCATCTGTGTTCCCGCCTGCCTCGGCCGACCGCACACGGTCACCTCCTCACCACCCTCCCTTCGCCTTTGTCCTCCCAGCTCCGCGGCTCGGTGCCCCTGCCACCTTGGGGAGGTGACCTGTCCTCTGTGCCATGGCTTCTCCTCTTTCCAGCCTGTTTCTCGTGGCCTCTTGGCCACACCCTCTCCTGGTTTCGGTGCCCCAGCTCAGGGATCAGAAGCCACTTCCTGCGGTGTCCGTGTCCGGAGGGTTAGAACAGCGACTCGTGTCCCAAGGTTCCTGTATGAGTCTGAGCTGGTCTTTGCTGCTGTCACCGCCTCTCCCCGGCCTGTCTGCCCCACCTCCCTTTCTTCTAGCCTCTCATTCTTTCTGCCTTGAATTCTGCCCCGTGTTCGGACCTCTTTCTAGGTTCCCCATCTCCGTCGCCCTCCCGGTCCCTCCTCCCCTTGCCCTTAACCTGCAGCAGCGTTGAAATGAAATCCATTCAGCTCTTTTCTGTTCCTCTTTTAGAGGCTGCTGGGAAGTCTTTCTCCACTTTTCCACCCAAGTAATTACATAAAATGCTGTGTGACTTTGTGACTGTAACATGTTCTTTCAAATAGCTAACATGATATTTCAGATGCCTTTCTTAGAGTAGCATTTTTTTCATGTTTAATTATCAGAGAAGAATTGTCTGCTTGGTTGTTTTTTTCTTTGTTCATGAAATTGCCTGCTTTAGAGTGTCAACAGCTACAGAACAAAAGAGTCTATTTTTAGTTTTTTTCTGTAGACTATCCCATATAATTCCAAATGCAAATGAGAGCTAACTTAGATCATTTTAATGATGGCAGTAATCAGAAAGAATAAAAATGGAAAAAGAAAGAAAAATGCCCTTACTAGTCATTCCACCTTAGAATTTAATGTCAAAAGTAGATGGTAACCAAACAGTATCTTACCTTTGGGTCTTTCCTCCCATCTGTGGGAACATCAGTGTCCTGATTAGACAGGATGTTGGATGGATAGTGATGTGTCACTTGTGCCCTGAGAGGTGATCAAGAGCTGTGTTCAAGGAACTAAGGCAGTTGTGTGGCCAGAGCTGTGGTGATGTGGAGAGGGGCTCAGGGGAGGCTGGGGGCCGGCAGCACCAGATCTCACAGGCATCCTGATCACTGCTGCCAGGCTTTGCATGCCCTCTGGTTGCAACACGAGTTCTGCCTCAAGAGCCCTGTGGTCGAGGGAACGAATGCAAAGGCAGGAATAAGCACTGCATTCCGGGTCGTGGTCACCCCTGAGGGAAGGGGTGATGTGGGAGACCCAGGAGACGCTGTTGGGTGTTGCATGGGTCTTGTTCTCTTTCTTGGACAGTGTCGTGGGTACGTGGGCATTTGTTTTAAAGCTGCTCTTCAAATGACATTTATTTTTATAATGCCCTTATATGAGAGCTGTATTTTACAATCATAAACAAGGAAAACAAAAAATGATACCAAAGAGGACCTTTGCTATCCAGACCCCTTCAGGGATTTTTTTTTTTTTTTTTGTAGATAGCCGTGTTTTCTGGAGAGGTAAAATAGGTACAATTTTGCCTCTTTAAAGTCCAAGGAAAGTTTATTTTTATTTTGGATGTACATTTTGTTTAAGGCATCTTCATAAACAAAGGTTATTGTACAGCCTTTTTTCATGATTCAGAACTATAATTTGGGAATGCCAGTTGTTTGATCATGTTTGTATAATTCATGGAATCTCTCAAACTATTGCACTGATTAGCAGTTTTCTTTTAAAACCATGGAAGATACCCACAGTGAGGTTTGTGTATATGCATGTGTCAGTACATATTATGTATGCATTTATAACATGTTGATCAATACGTTGTAATTTTTTTATACTTAAAGTCTACTTTTTATAACATTTGAGAGTCTCTTTCAGTCACGTGAATTAATGCTAAACCCCCCCCCTTTAAATTAATTAATTTATTTATTTTTGGCTGCGTCTTCGTTGCTGTGCGTGGGCTTTCTCTAGTTGCAGCGAGCGGGGGCTGCTCTTCGTTGTGGTGCGTGGGCTTCTCTTTGCGGTGGCTTCTCTTGTTGCAGAGCATGGGCTCTAGGGTGCAGGCTCAGTAGTTGTGGCGCACGGGCTTAGTTGCTCCATGGCATGTGGGATCTTCCCGGACCAGGGCTTGAACCCATGTCCCCTGCATTGGCAGGCGGATTCTTAACCACTGTGCCACCAGGGAAGCCCTGTCTCCCCTTTTTGAAGTCTGCTGAAGTGTTATAATTGAGAGTGAAACGCTGCTAACCCAGCGAGGCTTGAGAGTCCTCCCTCCTCAGAGTAGATGAAGGGCCTGAGTGAGGCCTTTGGATCTGGACCTCTATCTACTTAACCCCTGTTTTCAGTGTCCTGAAGCCCTGGGCATCCTCCTGGCTCTTGCCTCGGTGTTCTGGGTGGGTGGCACCTCGGGGGAACTGAGAGCTCTAGGAGACAGAAGGAACCAGGTCCCAAGCGGTCGTCCTGCTGGGGATTAAGAGGTGTGTCTTTTCTCACCTTCTGGAGGATCAGGGGCTGCTTAATGTCTCTCTAACCCTGGGGTGCGTCAGCACATAGTAAGCTTTCCAACCAGGAGGCCTTTCTAGAGGTGACCCTCCCGGAGGACGAGCTTCTTTACGTCAGCTCTGATGTTCATCCAGAGCCTGTGCTTAGAGGAGCCTGGCGGAAATAGAGCCGCAGAGCGACCCTCGTTCCGATTACATGGGGTCTTTCAAGTGCCTAATATGTTTATAACTGCACCTCGATGCAGGGATTTACTTTAAGAAATTGCATCCAAAGAATAATAGGATTGGAGCCTGCATGTAGTTCAGTTCCTGGATAAGTTTTTCATGCAGTGCTGAACATGTATTTATTCCCTGCCAGACTCATTGCTGGCTCCCTGAGAAGGGTGTGCATCAGAGCGTAGAGTTGGATGAAAAGGACCCGTTGTCAGAGGGATTCGAGTGATTTTACCTCCAGGCTTTGACCAGTTCAGGAAGCCAAGTATATTGCGGCTGAAATGGTTGAGGCCTGTGTTTTGATAAAATCTCTAAAACTGAAAATCCTTCTCCTTATTCACCGTGCTGACACATATCTCTGCGTGGGATTGTGGAGAGAGCCTTCTTGCCATTCCTCGAAAACAGCACAGTCTGTAGAACAGAGTTCCTTAGGGTATCTTATGAGTAGCGGTGGTTCCCTGAATTTACTCTCACTTGAAATTCCTTTGCCCATTAGTCATGTTTTCCTTTTGCAGTTTCCTGTCTTCTTTCTGCAAATACAGACAGAGCACCTTTTCAAGACACAGATCCCAAACGGCACAGTTGACCAGAGCAAGAAAATTGTTACGCAAAATATTCCTGATAGTTACCTAGTGTCTTCTGTGGGGCCAGGCACAGCTGTGCTTTTAGATTGTCACCTCTTTGCAAAGCAGGTGGAAAGGAGGTGCCTCCTTAGTGTCTGTAAGGGCCTCGCAGTCCCATCTTGGCTCAGTCTGGGAAATTTTCATGGGGTGTCTTTGGTGAGAAATGTCTCATAAATTTTGAATATCTAAAAACTTATTAGTCCTTTATATTTAGGCTTTCTACGTGTCAGAATGGAACAGAAAGTTATATACTAAATATTTTCTACCACCTTTGACTCATGAAAGAAAGATCTGTAGGTCTCAAATCTGATTTACGGCGAACAGAAAACAAACAGAAGCAGCTCTGGGCAACCAGCTGGTCTCATCTGACCAGCCGAGGGGCCGTGGCCGGGTCTTCACCTGAAGACAAGCACGACTGAACCTGAGCTCTTATCACTGGGAATATTCTCTTTTCATGCTTTCAAAGTTGGTCTGACAATTAGAACCTTTTGTGTGTGTGTGTGTGGGGGGTGCTTATAAGTAAGTGCACTTTGTCAGCAAATATAACATTGAAACGCGTTAGTCTTCACTAAAGTTTAGTTTTCATTTGTTGTCTTCAGGTGACTTCCCTTGTTGGTGTGGTACTGATGGTCTGCTTTCTTCTTTTTCCTCCAGGCTTCTAGTTAGTGCCTCACAGGATGGTAAGCTTATCATCTGGGATAGCTACACCACGAACAAGGTAGGTACTGCAAACCCTTCCCTGAAAAGCGGCCCGGGAAGGGCAGGTGTTTAAACTCTGGGTTCACTTACGTAAAATGTATAACAGGAGAGGGTGGGGGAGCACAGTGAGTTCGTTTTTGTGTAAAGTCATATGGGTCAGGTAGAAGCCCAGTCACATGGCTGGCATGTGTCACTGGTGCTGCTGGGCCAGCATGGCGTTGCTGTGATGTGTCGCCTCTTTACAGAGCAGGTTGGGGGAGCCTCCTTCAGGTTTCTAGGCAACTGGAGTCCAATTTTAGCTCAGTCTGGGAAATCTCATGCTTTATTTAAAAATACAGAAATACAGCTTTCCGTTTAGTCATCTAGTTTCTACAGGAAATAATCTGAAAGAGTTTATACTTTGAAGTATAAATTAAATTATTTTAAAATTTCAATCCAGGGTTCTATCATATTGAATGAAAAAAGTACTATCGTTGGTCTAAACGTAACAGACAAAATTCAGTTTTATTTTACTGGAGGATACCACACGTGTATAACAGAATCCAGTACTTATAACAAATCTATCTCAAACACAGGGAGGTGTGTGGTAGGATTAATTACAGTAATTTCTATTTTGATTACTTCACTAAAAATGCTTTATTTTCGGAGTGAATTTTATAGCCATTTTGACAAGCCAGTGAAATGTTTTCCTCTTAATATGTAATTGTGATTCAGAGGCTATGTTGCTATTACTTAAGTGTCTACCTAACTGTAAGTTATGACTTTATTAAAACTCTACATTTGGGAATTCCCTGGCAGTCCAGTGGTTAGGACTCCGTGCTTTCACTGCTGAGGGCCTGGGTTCGCTCCCTGGTTGGAAAACTAAGACCCCACAAGCTACGTGGTGTGGCCTCAATAAATAAATAAAACTACATAGGGGCTTCCCTGTGGCGCAGTGGGTTGAGAGTCCGCCTGCCGATGCAGGGGACACGGGGTCGTGTCCCGGG